CTTTACTTTCTAGTTCATTGCTAGGGACTAGCAATATTTAAGTTTAGGGGTGTGATGAGCGCTGAAAAGTGCGTATTTAAACCCCTTAAGCTTAGGCATTCTAGTACCTTTATCTATCTTACTTTACCATTTTAGATTGATTTCGTATTATTTCCATTTTCAGGCACTTATCCCGAAAATAAGCTAACTCAGCCAAATAAGAGCTTAATTGAAGCAATTCTGGGATGAATCAAAGAAAGGAGCCAAGTGGAAGCAAAAGGAAGAAAAAGGTGGAAATCAACATCTTCGATCGATCTCAGATCAAAGTTCAATCGATCTAACATGATCGATCTCAGCACATCAAGATGGATCAGAGCCATAATGACATTTTCAGAGATCTCAAAAGTTTGATCGATCCAACATCATTCTTCGATCAATCAAACTGCTTTGTCCTTATCCAAATGATTGATTTTATCTAGTTGTACCACCCTACCAACCACTTTTGTCCTTTTCCCAAAAACATCTTCAAAATATATTAGATTTATCTTTATCCAAAAAGCGCTACCAATGAAGATCGATCCAACCTAAGTTCGATGGATCTCAACAATGTTCGATCGATCTAAATCCAAGGTTCGATCGATCGAACTTCCTCCCGTGCGAAAAAGTTAAATTTCTAGCTCATTGAAAGTTGTCCTTTATCCAATCATTAGGGAATATTGTATGCACGATCTCAGCTCATTTTTGGGTGTCATTTGACCTACCTATATAAGGATAAGGATTACTTTTTATAAAAAGGGGGGGGGGGAGCCAATATCATATCATATCATATCATCTCTTGGAGAGCAAGCTTAGAGGAGGAGGAGGCTAGAGACACCATTGGAGACTCTTCATCATCCAAGGAGCAAATCTCAACTATGGAGTTAGCCCTTGAGGGTTGGAGAAGCACTACCATGAGTGGTTAGACATCCTCTTGGGGCTAGAGTTAGCCCCAAGCATGCTTTCTATATCTTAATCTTGTGTATTATTGAGGGATTAGTGTTGTAATTAATGTTTTGACACTTTGATATATATAGATCTTGATTGTTCAATGATTTATGTGGTTAAATACTTTCAATTAATCATTTCATTCTATCCATATGTCTATGTATGTTAGAATAGATGTTCATGTGTTTGTCTCTAGATTTTGTGTTATTGATGCATGTCTATATGTATTGATACTATAGATTTAGAGATTGTCAAAACATAGTGCTTAATGGAATGCACTTGTGATTTTCTGGATGGTTCATACTTATTCCTTGATGGATTGTGCTTCTCCCTTAGTTTATTTTCATGCTAGTGGTGTAGATGTAGTGTAGTTGTAGTGTAGTGTTAAATGGGAGGACAATCCATGCTTGTTATTTGATGATCCATGCTTTTGAATGCAAGTAACATATGTCTCTAACCTTGTGTTGTATTTGGATTGTGAGCTTAATGAAAGGATTAATGACTTGTTTTGATCTATTGTGCCTTTCACATGTTGTTTAGACAATATACGTTTCATTGCTTAGATACATTGTGCCTTTCACATGATGTTTAGACAATACATGCTTAACTAGTCATCCTTGCTTGTTGAATCAACCAAACACACACACACACACACACACCAATATTGTAACACACCATTTGCCCCAATTAGTCATTTCTCAATGGTATAGAAAAGCATTTCTTGGTGGTGATCTCTAAACCCCAAGACTCTTCTCTCTCTTACTTACTCTTAGTTGCATTCTTTTGTTATCACTTAGTTTAATTTAGTTTTTCTCTAATCTAATCAACCAACCAACCAATTGTTTGATCACTCGACCTACTAGCCCTAATAGCAATTCCATAACCTTGTTCGACCCTCACAATCCCTTGGGACGATCCCTACTCGCCCTAGCTATATTTATAGTGAAAGGTAATAGTGGCTTCTATAAATGTAAAACTTGGCCCTCGCCTTAATGCACACTCTCAAACTTGATGGTAGTGCGATAGACCAGTCAGCAGTTTACAGCATATTTCTGGGGCTCAGGGTCAAGTCTTTGCTCTTCCACAAGCGGATGCTTTCAGAGGGACTTCTGTTATTCGAGGTATCTTTCCTGTTTTCAGTTCTTCGGCTAGAGTTTTGATTGACACAGGTGCATCTCATTTTTTCATTTTATCATTATTTGCACATTCATTGGGTTTAGTGGTCACATTTAGGGACAGTTTCCTTTGTATTAACACGCCAGTTAGAGGTCTAGTTTCTTTTGATAGATTTTTTCGGGGTTGCATTATTGAGATAGTTGAGCGGACTTTAGAATTCGATTTCATCCTTCTCAACATGATAGGCTTTGATGTCATTCTCGGGATGGACTGATCATCTTTCTTTCGGGCCATGATCGATTGCTTCTGCGGGAGTGTGTCTGTTTGCACTCCCAAGGGAGATTGTTTTTATTTTGTGGGAGATTGGAGTGATCCTCACCCTACGGTTGTTTACAGCATTGATGGTTGGAGTCGCCACAGGCCTTACTTGGCTAGTTTGCTAGCCGACGAAGATAGGAGTTTTGGTCGTGTTTTTCCAGTAGTTGTTGAGGAGTTTCTTGATGTCTTTCCAAAGGAGTTGACAGAGTTACCTCCTATTCGGGAAGTGGTGTTTGCCATTGATGTCATACCCAGTACATCACCCATCTCTATGGCACTGTACCGCATGGCACTGGCAGAGTTGGATGAGCTGAAGGGACAGTTGGATGATTTGAAAGCTAAGGGCTTTATTCGTCCTAGTGCTTCACCATAGGGAGCACCGGTTCTTTTTACGAATAAAAATGATGAGTCATTAAGACTTTGTATCGATTATCACAAATTGAATCACGCTACGATCAAGAACAAGTATATGTTGCTTAGGATTGATGACTTGTTTGATTAGTTGAAGGGAGCGACTTGTTTTTCAAAGATTGACTTGAGGTCAGTATATTCTCAATTAAGGGTTAAGGATGATGACATATCCAATACCGCTTTTCACACATGGTATGGTCATTACGAGTTCCTGGTAATGCCATTTAGTTTAATCAATGCTCCAGCGACTTTTATAGACTTGATAAACAGTGTATTTGATGCTTATCTTGACGAGTTCGTGGTGGTGTTTATTGACGACATTCTCGGTTACTTATCTTCAAGAGAAAAGCATGAGTATCACTTAAGAACGGCTTTACAGACCCTTAGGGTTAACTGATTGTATGCCAAGTACGAGAAGTGCGAGTTTTGGTTACCTGAAGTGAAGTTCCTTGGTTATGTTGTATCAGGAGGTGGTGTTTCTATTGATCTATCAAAGATTAAGGTAGTGATGGATTGGGGACGTCCAAAGAATGTGTTTGAGATTTAGAGTTTCCTTGGCCTAGCTGGCTATTACCGGAGATTTGTTAGGGATTTCTCTTATTTAGCGGCACCTATGACTAGACTTACTCGCAAGGGAGTCAAGTTCATATGGAATGAGGCTTGTGACTTAACTTTTCAGGAGTTAAAGGTCAGGTTGACATCGGCTCCAGTTTGATCATACCTAAACGTGGTTTAGGTTATGTGATCTTTTGTGATGCTTCTTGGGAAGGTTTAGGTTGCGTTCTGATGCAGACAGAATGGGTAGTTGCTTATGGGTCTAGATAGTTAAAGACTCACGAGTTGAATTATCTGACACATGATTTGAGTTGGCAGCAGTGATCTTTGTATTGAAAGGATGAAGACAATACTTGTACAAAGAGAAGTTTGAGGTTTTCTCTGATCACAAAAGTCTCAAGTATCTTTTCTCACAGAAGGACTTGAACTTGAGGCAGCGCAGATGGGTGAAGTTTATGGAGGACTACGACTTTAAGTTGCAATACCACCTGGGGAAAGCTAATGTTGTGGCTGATGCCTGGAGTAGGAAGTCACAGGGGACTCTGGTTAGTATTTCTATTCATAGATGGAAGATGTTAGAGAAGCTTGTTGATCTTGGATTACAGTTATGTGAGGATGATTCATCGGCTATTTTGTTTAGCCTTATGGCTCACTAGCTCTTGTTAGCAGGGTTATTGAGGCACAATGGGAGGATGGTGAAATGGAGTCCATTCGCAGACGAATTTCAGGCGGTGAGAATGTAGAGGGTTGGACCTTACTTTCAAACAGTGGTCTCAAGTACAGGGGGATAATGTTCGTTCCTTTGCCTTGTTGTGATGTTGTTCTTCGAGATTTTCACCATTCTCGACTTGCTGTTCATTGAGGTTGTACCAAGATGTATCACAATTTGAGACGTCAGTTTTGGTGGAAAGGTATAAAGCAAGATGTTTCTCAGTTTGTGGCTAAGTGCCTTACTTGTTAGCAGGTGAAGACAGAGCATCAGAGACCGGTAGGGTTGTTGTAACCATTACCAATAGCCGGGTGGAAGTGAAAGCACATTACTATGGATTTTGTGACAGGACTTCCGAGATCCCAGATAGGGAATGATGCCGTTTGGGTTATAGTCGACAGGTTGACTAAGACGACACACTTTTTTGCCTATGCCAGTGACAGATGACGCAGATACACTTAGTGGACTATATGTGAGGCATATTGTCAGGCTTCACGGGGTTTCAGTATCCATTATTTCAGATAGGGATCCTCGGTTCACATCTCACTTTTGGCAGGGTTTTCAGGAGGTTCTTGACACGGGGCTTCATTTCAGCACGACATTCCATCCTCAGACTGATGGTCAGTCAAAGTGTACCATTAAGATATTGGAAGATATGTTATGGGCTTGCATCTTGGATTTTAGGGGTAGTTGGGAAGACTACTTACCTTTGATTGAGTTTGCTTACAATAACATTTACCAGGCCAGTATCGGCATGGCACCTTTCGAGGCGTTGTATGGCAGACCTTACAGATATCTAGTTTGCTGGACCGAGGTCAGTGATACATTCGCCTTAGGTCCCGATGTTGTCATTGAGACTACAGAGAAGATCAAGTTGATTCGACAGTGATTGGCTACAGCTCATAGTAGGTAAAAGAGTTATGCGGATATGAGAAAGAGATCCTTATCTTTTCAGGTAGGGGACCTTGTCTTTCTCAAGATTTCACCACGTAAGGGGCTTATGAGATTTCGACAGAGTGGCAAGTTGTCTCCTAGGTTCATTGGACCATTTGAAATTTTGGATCGCGTTGGTGAAGTTGTTTATCGATTGGCATTATCGCCACATCTGGATAGGGTTCATGACATTTTCCATATTTTTATGTTGAGGAAGTACGAGCCGGATCCATCACATGTTTTGAGGTGGATAGATGTTATTGTTGATAAGGATGTGACCTACGAGGAAGGTCCAGTCCAGATTCTTGACTCTAGAGAACATGTGTTGCGGACTAAGATCATTCCATTGGTCAAGGTTTGTGGTGACATCATGAAGTCGAGGAGACTACTTGGGAGCTCGAGCAGGAGGTTCGCTCTTGGTACCCAGGTTTGTTCGTAATTTCAGTTACGACTTGATTTCGGAGACGAAATCCTTTTAAGTAGGGGAGGTTGTGATGATCGTGTCATCTTTTCTTTTTCCAGCATTATTCTTTTTATTATATTTTATTCATTTATTTATTATTTCTTTTCTTGTTACCTTAGGGTTTTGTAGGACCCGGTATGTTTGGTGTCCGGAATTGGTTTTCGACATTTCATGCATTCACTTTAATTTATTTTATTGTTAATGCATAATTTAATTGTGTAGCAAAGCATGCTAGCTTGTTTTCATTTCTTGGGGGTATAATTGCATTGTTTCTTTGGGAGACATTTTTATTTTTGGGGTTCTTTGTGTGATTATCTTTTTGAGATATTTTTTGTTTGGAGACCTTTTTGCAATTATTTTTGGAAGATATTTTGTCTAAGTACTTTTTTGCAATTTTTGAAAAGTGTGACAAGTGTTACGCTTTCATGGGACCATGTGTTCACCTTTAGTTGGTGACATGTAGAGGGTTTGGATGATGCCAAGTGTATGGTGGATTTTAAGTTTTGTGAGGATGCCTTTGGTTATGACAAGTGGATGGTTATGATGGGAGTGTGTGTGAGAGAGGTAGTGTTAGCTTAGTTAAGTGATATGTGTATCACTATTATAAGTGGAAAACCTAAAGATTTTCTTTATTTTCTTCTTCCTCTCACAAAGCCACCATTGTAGCTTACCTTAGACCTTGATTTAACCCACCTTCCACGCATCTTTTGGCTTCACTCTTGGAAGATAAAAGCTTCCTTGCTCCTTGGCCTTCAATACCCTTTTCTTAGGTTTCATCTTTGCACATTTTTCCTTTGGATTCTAGAGAGTCTTTCTCTAGTGAGGTAGGGGGTGTAGTATATTTATAACCTTAGTGTTTGCCTTGTGTTTTGAAGCTTAATATATATTGTACGCATGTTGTATGAGTTGTAGGAATATATATATGTGATTGTGTATTTTTGACTTAGGTTTTCTTATTGCTTAAAGCATGCATATGATTCTTCTTTTGTGATTTAGTTATTTAATTTGGTAGAAGATGATGATATTGCTAATTTCATAGAAATGTGGTTGTTATACCTTTATATTCTTCTTACCATTTAAATTGCTAGAGACTTGTATAATATCATGAGGTCGTGTATTTAATTGTTAAGGTTTACATTACTAGCATGACTTACTCTTATTTGTTCATACCATAATGCTAGTATAAGTGTATACATATTGAGGACTTGATATCATAATGCCACATTAGTCTTGAGGACTTAGGACATGGAATGTGTGATTTCCAATCTTTTTTGTGTATGGAATTTGAACTATGGGCATTGTATACATATGTTGTGTTGTGCATATTATTGTTGATTTTGGGAAATACTTGGGGCATTTGTTTCATGGACATAGCTAGAGTTCGGCTCTAGTGTGGGAGGTACGAGTTCTCCCCAATTATAGTGGCCACTTAAGTAGTTCCTTGCGGGTTAATAGCCCGAAAATAACGAATTATCTTGGTTGTGATGTTCATAACCGGATGTTCGTGTCCAAGATATTCCTACTATTTGATTTTGCATTTCGATTCCAAGTTTACAATTTTGTATACATGAACATTATGAGATTGAATTTTAGAAAAATCTTCTTTTTCATATGAAAACATGAATGATATTTATGTCCATTCTTACCACAAAAAGTGCAATGCAATAGTTTAGGCACACAAGACATATCAAAGTGCAATGCATTAGGCAAACATGGTTCAGGCATACGATAATCAACAGGTTTAATAACAAATGTTGAACTTGACTATTAGATGAGCCTTTATTAACTCCTAACCTAGTTTTATCATTCATATCTTTAGACATGTTGTTCAATTTATTCAAACAGTCTTGTTCTATTATAAACACTTTCAGATTATCTTGTGTAATACCCCTAATTTTAAAAGGATAATCTCGGTATATTTTTTTAGTTCTTTTATTTGCAGTTTTAATTTATTTAAATGATTAATTGATGATTTTTTTATATGTTTAATTTATTTAGGTGGTTAAATGTAATTTGTTGGCGTATTTGAAATTACAAGCTTTATTTGAATCTGCTTATGTATATTTTGTGTAGCTTAATTGTTAGGAACTAAATCATTTAAATGTTTGTTTTATTTTATTTTAGATTTTTATTTAAGGATGGATTTGGACAGTAGTAATGGACCAACTATTTAGGTCTCATGAACTACTTGGATAAGAGATTTAAATGGGTACAGTCACTATCCATGGTTAGTGGTACATATATAAATAGGTATATATGTATATAAGATTATGTTAATTATTAATTAAAATTAATAGTTACATTAAAAGTGATATTCAGTATATACTATATAGTATATAATTATAAAGGTTACACCCTAATCCAATGTGATGTCATATATATATATATATATATATGACATCACGTTGGATTAGGGTGCCGATATATATAATATGTATTTAGTTTATTTTTCTTTTCCTTTTCCTTAGGTAATTAGAATTAGGTTAAAATTAAAATGGCCTATAAATATATGTAATATGTCTATGCACGGACACATAGAGGCAGAGAGATATACAGGGGGGGTTTGAGAGAAAAACTGGGAAGAAAATGTAGGGTTTTGGCAGAAGATTGAAGGTCGGACCAAGGAGGAAGGAAGAAGGTTTGCTTGTGGGTTGAACTAGGAGCAGCAGAGGAGTTTGACGGCAGTTAAGGAGTCGTTAGAATTATTAGAGAAGAAGGTTTAAGGTTTCAAATTGAAACCTAAGGCAAGTTTTATATCTTACTCCTTTCCTTAGACTTGTGTTCTGTGCATTCCTAGATAATCTCCAGGATTTAATCGGACATTAAAAATGATCTTGTATGCATATTAATTCAGAGTTTTAACTGTATTATGTGTTGTTAAATGTTAATTGATTTATCTCATCAATTGTGTCATATTATGTTTTCTAAATTGTTGTTAATGATGCATACTGTGTTTTTATGAGTTTCTGGAATAAATTCGGGAAATAGATTGAACTCCTAGGAACCTTAACAAAGAGTTACAGAGGTGTTTTAACGTCGTCTAAGGTGAAGAAGATAAAGGGGTTTAGCATACGGCTCTCTGGAATGGAGAGAGCCGGCTCTCCACGGGGGAGAGCCGGCTCCCTCTCTAGGGGAGGCGGCTCCCTTGCTGAAATACACCAGTAGGTGTATTTTTGGTTTTTTTTTTTTTAGATACTTTAAGGGCTAAAATGGAATTATAGACTTTAATGGGGGGTTTTAAATGATTTAAATTAACATGTTAAAATCACAGGATTGTTAGTCAATACTATTATGCTAAAATATTGGACATCATGAAATTTAAATACTTATTTGTATGCTGTCAATGGATGTGGAAGATTTAATTGCTTGTTGTTGTTCTAGCAAGTTAAATGGATTAGTATGATTATAATTCAATATAATGTGCTCAGTTAGTTGTCTGATTTTCATTATATCATTATCTGGATTATAATTGATGAACTATTTATTTCTGATTTATCAATTATTAGATTTTGTGGATTATATGTACCGGTATGGGACGGTGGCATATTAGGAATGGATTAGATCAAAACGTTAAATCCTACCTATTCTGGAATAAAGAAATGGATTAACTACAATGTTAAATCCTACTTATATTCATGTCAGATCAACAGAACAATTGGATGACATGTTGGATGTTTATTTTATGTTCTGGATTAAGATGAATTATATTCATATATATATATATAGTTATGAGCCATGATATGAGCTTGAGTCTCGGGATCATGGTTAGGGTGCGTATATCATCTAGGATGGATAACTGGACACAATACACATCTGGGTACCCTGGTAGGTCTAAGTATACATGCCCACTTTATGTGCGATTTGCATGTTACCTTCTATTCAGGTTGAGACAGACCTATGGACTAGTGAGCGTCCTATAGTGTGTATTTATTCATATATGGACTATTTAGCTATTGTTGAGTTGTTTAAGATGTATCTGCGTATCGAGTCTCTGTTTGGATTGTAGTAAAGTAGAACTTGTTCGTGGGCTTGACCTACTATTATTTTTTCAAGTATCGGACAGTTCCAGTCTTAGAGCTTGTTCGTGCTGAGCAGAGACTGTCACTCACTTTTCCGACTACGTACGACTTTTATTTATGTTTTAGTTTTAGATTTCCTTTTTAGTTCAGTTTTTTTCCAGTTGGGATTTTATTAGGGGTCCACTAGATGGATTCCCGAGTTGTTTTAGTATTGGAGGTTTTGGAAATTTTTTTTGAGGATTATTTAAAAGTATTTCAAGGATTTATTATTTAGTTTTCTTTCAGCTTAATTAGTTATTTATTCTTATTTCTTTTGTACTCAATGCTTGTTTATATACTTAATTGTTTGATACCCTTTGGATCTGTGCTAGGACTTGATCACCCGTGGCTCTAGAATCTAGGGGTATCACATCTTGTGTAGATTTCAATTCACTTTCAAGATAATCAATTTTCAGAGCAAGATATTTCTTCAAAGAGTTAGCAGTATTTACCTTATCTTCAAGAATGATGATCTTCTTTTCAAGCTCAATGATGATAGAATTACTTTCAAAAGCTCTTCTTTTTTCTTCATAAATCTGTTTTCTAAGATCTTCATTCTTTCCTTTTGCTTGGATAAGCTCATTTGCCAACTTATTGATATCCTGTTTGACTTTAATGGTTTCTCCGACCATCTTCTTCAATCTCATCATCCTTTTCATCCTCTTGCACCTGTTCATCATGAACTTCATATTCTTTATAATTTGAAATATCAGAGTCAGACAAAGTAACAATATGAGGACCTTCTTTAAGAAAAGCGACATAAGAAAAATCATTAGAATCATCATAAGGAGAATCATTATCACGAGAAATAGAATTTTCAGAAATAGAAACTTTCATTACTTTTCCTTTATTTCCTTTTAAACTTTCTTAGGACCAGGACAAATATTGGATGTGTGACCTTTGCCACCACAATTCCAG